TTATATTATAAAATATAAAATTTTAGCAGTGGGTTACCCGGTACTTCTTGTTTCAGTAGTCTAATGATGCCATAGGTGATACTGTCCTCCCTAGAGGATGTAGCTTTGCCCCTGGTGGTGAGCAAAACTACGGGTAGGTTAGGTTTTGGTCTCGACTAAAAATAATAAAAATAATAATAATAATATATATATATATATATATATATATATATATATATATATATATAAAATATATATATATATATTTATATATATATATATATATTATAAATATATATATACATATATATATATGTATATTTTATATAATATATATATATATATATTATATATTTTAAATATATATATATAATATTATAAATATATATATATATATATAATATTTTATATATATATAAAATATATATATATATATATAAAATATTTTATATATATATATATATATAATATATATATATATATATATAAAATATATAAATATATATATATATATATATATCAGTGACTAAGTGTCCGTGTAAAACATTTGAGAGGATGGTGCTTAATAGGGTATTGTACAGAGTAAAAAATACATGTCTCTTAATATAAATAGATTCACATATGACAAAGGTGTACCAAATTTTACTGAGGTAAAAGTCACAAATACATGTCTCTTCTCCATATTAAAAATGCAATTGATGTTGCAAATAGGAAAGTTGTTTTGTATGAATTAACTAAGATGGAAATAGGTGGTCTGTTTGTTTCAATGGATTCTCGTTTTTCTCACTAACAGAAAATCTACTGCACTGATTCAGAACTATAAATGTGAAACTAAAGAAATACACCATGGCGCTCCTCAACGCAATGTATTAAATATAACACTGCTTAACGTATTAATCAAAGCTCTACTTAAATCTGAAATAAATACCCAATCAATATCACAATTAGAAATGCTGATGATATTCTCTAGCATTCTAAAGCTTTTTGGGAAATGCAAATAACTCTTAATCATATACAGACAGCCTGTGATATTTCGTCCTCATAATTTCTGTAGCAAAGACCAGTATTTAACAGACACACTGGCAAATGTAAAAGTGGCAGGTCTGTTGTTTGTGTGTCCTGTAACTATCAAGGACTACTGATCCAGGTACGTTAACAACTATGAATAAAATTAGCATTGTATAGACAGACTTAAAAACTCTCTTAACATATATAGGGCACAATCTTAACTATGGTGGAAATGATAGAACATTATTTTGCATACATATGATCATTGATAGATTACTATGCATCAGTTTTAGTCCTGCAACACAATAGAGCCATTGTAAGATATAGGAAAAAACACAAAATGAGGCCCTCGGAAATAGTCATGGTTGTTCTATACATGGTCACCAATTAATTTATATCAAGTCAACATAAATAAAATAATATTTTGAATGATTCACCTGTTAGTTCCGGTTTGTGAGGCCACTGGCGAAATTCCAGATGTGTTGGAGCTGCTAGTAGGCGTGTCTGGAGTGCAAGAAGCAACAGCGCAGGCTGTTGGTATAGTAGGAGAGGAGGAATTAACCAGAGGATGGTAAGGAACAACACGGCTCCGCTGATTGGAGTGCCTGTCTTGAGTGGTTAAGATGGTACTGATAGACGTTTGTGATGTAGGGCTCAAAAGGGACCCCAGGAACGTGTGAGATTCATTCACGGACTGGTGTGCCTTCTTTGGTAACTTCTTTGTTGACCTATTTGTCACGTCTTTAGATTTCCTATACTTGTGTGATAGCGCACTGACACTCTTCTTTGGTTTTGCCAAGTGTTCAGTGATATTGTCATCAAAACTTGTGTTAACCGTGAAACACTGGTGATACTTGTTGTGATATCGATGCTCTCCAGGATGTGAATCTTTGAAAGTGTTGCCTGAAATCACGTTAGGAATTGTTTTTGAGACAGAATTCTCACTGTGGCATTCACTGGTCTCCTTCATCATTCCACCGAGGCCCTCCGTTATGCAGCAGGCAGCATCTCGTGGCTGATAGTCAGGCAGAGTACTAGTGAGACTAAGCTTTCTAATGAAGGGTGGCGTTCTTTTGCTGTTAGAGAGCTCCCTCGTCAAAAGAGACTGTTTACGGGGCGACGCGGGAGGTGACACGCTGTCATACAAGTAACTGTCACACGTCGTGGGCAGCTGGTGAAGAGGTAGTGCTTCCTCCCTCTTCACTGATTTTTTTGCTAATAACTTAAAATTTTCAGACGCTAATGACTGAACGAAATCGTCGATGACACCTGTTCCATCTTGTTCAATATATGTTGTCGGGGCTGCATTATTTAAATCAAGACTGTTAATGAGACTTTGCTGCATGTCAAAAAGGGAATTCTTATAGGTGTCAGACATTTGAGGTAATTTAGAAGAGTCTGGTGGAGTTGCCTCACAAAATGACTGTATCTCTTGAGAGTTCTGATCTTTTTAATGTCATATTCGGGCACTCTAATGATTGGTATGTTTTACGAATATTTTCTTTTTTTATTC